CTATGGGCCTCTACAGACAGTGTTTTGCACCGTCTTGGAGGCAGGGAAGGGGAGGGGCAGCCAGACACCGGACGCCCCAACCCTTTCTCGAGGACATCATCGGAGCACTTGCCATTGCACATGGCGAGTGCTCCGATGACATCCTTCCGTCACAGCGTCCGGACACACTGCGACAGAAGAGACGCGGAAGAGTGGATTGGGGCCCATGCCCCCCCATCTGCATCCCCCCATGTTCCATTGTCCATATAAATGATTGCAGACAAATTTTAAAAACATGTGCAAGTGGCCAGCTATTATTTTAGTTTTTTTCTTTCTCATGTATTTTGTTTTGTTTTCTGCAAAATGGCTGATTACTCACACTTCTAATTCTGGTTTATAACATGTATTTCATGCTATTGGTACCCAGAGGGACTTATCTGTAAGAGGATGGCCAGAAGTGAAAATATTATGCTGAAAGTAGCTGGTGAGGTGAGGTGATTCATAAATGAAAGTTTGTAAAAAAAAATGTTTTGTAAACACAGGGGGGTTGCAGACTGCCAGAAATAGTGCAAATTGAGTCCACTTTTACGGTTAGGGTTAGGGTTAGGGTTAGGGAATCATGGGAACTGTAGTTTATTGTGGCACCAGAGCTCTCTGACAGAGAAGGCTCAATGTCTCAGAAAAAAAAACAATTCCCAGGATTCCCTAGCACTAACCCTAACCGTAAAAGTGGACTCAATTTGCACTATTTCTGGCAGTCTGCAACCCCCCACACACTGTCATATAGAAGGAGCAAAATAGAGCAGGAGGAGGGATACTTATGATAGAATGAAAGGTGAAGAGCTGAAAAAAGAAGGGAAGGTCCTCAAAAGATGTGTGTGTGTGTGTGTGTGCGCGCACTGTCAGCCTTTTCAGTTCTGGATAAGCAGCATTCCCAGCAACTTTGAGGACATTCTTTGAAGTGTAGGAGAATGACCTCAAATGCCATTAAATGAGTAGCTATCTTAGGTCCGGGCAAGGCAACTGAAATGACACACTAGCCAGCAAAATCTACCACCTTGAACCAAAACCCAGAGTTAAACGGTCAGTCAGTTCACATTCTGCTTCTTTTTAAGGCATAGGTTGGGCTGAAGGGGAGGATAGAAACTACTACTCTAACACACAAAAAAGAGTGCTGTTTGGGTATTGCATATATATCTAGAGATACATATATAAATGTGAACAATATGCTTTTTGCACATGTACTATTGCGTCTTGGCCTTTACTACATATGAACTGATCCAGCAGCATTCTGGTGCATGAAATTAAATGTATCTATCCCTTGCTGGGGGAACAAAAATTCACAGTCTGCTAAGTATACAGAACAAAGTTTTCCTTGCAAGTGGCTGATAACAAAAATGAATGAATGGAGGCAAATTTGTATATTAACATCATGATCACTTATTAAAGCTTACAGCTATTTTGAACACAGATGTGTCAGGTTAAATCTCAGTCTGCTAAACAATGCCACATTGTTGGACCATCAAATCTTTTGTTTGATTAAAGTAATATGGCTGCAATCCTTGTAATTTTTCTAATTTTAGGTAGAAGAAACAAGTCATCTACACATGCACAAAATTGGATTCTTTAGCTGTTTGTAACATACTAATACAGTAAATCAGGTTACGCTGAGATGGAGGAGGTATTTATTGCCAGTCTAACTAGACATTTAAATTGTTCTGTATTGAGACAGCTGTAAAATCTTCAAGCACTGTATTGAAGTTTAGCATCAAATATTTATTTAAGATTATTTTAATCTGTAAATAATTTTACATTTCAAAGCATTGGAAGAATTTAGTTAGATGACAGGAGCCCGTTCTTTCAGTAGTTTGTGTTTATAACTAAACAAATGATGTACTTCTCTGCCAACTCTGTAAAACTGTTGCTAAGATAGCACTTTGCAATATAAAAACTGCACCATATATTTTACTACATGAAATATGTTTATGTCTTGATATATTAATAACATTGCAAATCTATCCCAGTTGAGGTCACTATGTATTATTCAAATCTCCACACAAGGCCCATTTGGGAAAGCATAAGGCATTTATGTAATAACCATGAATCAGTCATGAATACACCACTTTCCTGCAGAGCTGTACTACAAACAGATTGTTATTTCAGATATGAACCAAAGTTGCACATGCTCTGTTGTTCATTCACAGGCCTTCATTTCTTCTTGGTTTAACTTATTACTGTGTTGTTGTTTTTTTAAAAAAATCCTTTCATGAGCTAATCTCTAAGCACTTGGGAAACCTCCAAGGTAGGAAGCATCAGCTTGGTGATTCAAACTTAACTGTAATTCTTTCAGAATAGCAAGTAGATATCCTGTAATATTTTAAATAACTGAGACAGAAAACAATAAAATAACAGATTCTCTGACCATCATTATGATGAATGTAAAAATGTTCTCAGTAGAACACCATGACACTGAATACTGTTTAGGTTGCTTAATCACAGTGAACCCTCTTTTCCCAGTTTGGCATTTTTAGAATGAAAGCATCTCTGAAGGTCTAGTCTTAGGGTTAATAAATCCCAAATTCTGCTTCTGCTTTGCAGGCCTCTGAAGAGAAACCTCGTGTTTCTGTGCAATTTACACTTAGTCTAGTTTCTGGATGAACAATCTATTCCCCCTCCCAAGCGTATTGCATTGAAGTGTATATATACCTTGCTTTCTCGTAACAGAAACATAGGAAGCTGCTTTATACATTAGTTTGTTCATGTAACCCAATAGTATTTATCCAAAAAAAGTAAAAGCATTTAAGATCTCTTTGACATCAGCTGATACCTTTTTAACTAAAAATGTGGGAAACTGAATCTGTCATTGAGCTATGGGCCTTTCCTTAGCATATGGCACAGGTACTTGCTATTCATGAAGCTGTCTACCCCATTCTCGTTGAATGCCTTTCATGTTCTTAAAGAAAGAAAAAAACATAATAATAGCAATTTACATTTTTCTTTCAATTCAAAAAATTGCATGAATAATAGATCCTTTTATTTATAGGACCATTTTCAGGTTTGATTGCTTTCATTATGCACATAAATATATGGATGTATATGTATAGTTAATGGGTCACAGGTCTGCATCTATCATTCCTATTTCCAGGAATGGGTTCTATTGCCTTAATTCAGGGGAGTCCTTGCTAGTCAGTGTCAGCAGTACTAGACTAAATGGGCTGTTAGACTAACTCAATATGACACACCTTCCTATGCCTTATGTTTCACGTCACTTCTCATTCATTTTGCACATGTTATGAATTGTAGCCACATTTGAGTAGTAGTTATTTTTACTGTAACAGTAACATACGTGGGAAGTTAAAGGTTATACTTTAGCAGAGCCAAAGTGACTTCCCATATCAGGTTAATCTCTATAGTTACGTCTTCATGATCAGAAGCTAAACTTAATACACCAGCAAGAATATTTTCTCTTTTTTCATCACAATTCTCTCCCTTCCCCCCCTTTTTTTCTTTTTTTTACTTTCCTCAGCCGGCTAAACAAAGACATCTGCAGCAATTTGTTTCTGAATATGTATAAAACCATTTGCAGAACTCAGGTGGTCAGACCTCTCTTGGCTTCAGTGGGAAGTGGTTGTTATGCTGAGTATCACACCTTTAATTTAGAGCAATGAAGCACTGTAAATATGTGATTAGACTCTAATCATTAAGGCTGCAAAATCAGATGTTTCCAATATTTTAAATGCCTATTGACTGGAGTCATTTATATCCCTGTAGCCTCTTTTCACATTATGAGATTCAGAAGTAACTCACATCAGAAATGGAAACATTTCGAAAGCCATATGCAAAAAGCTCAAGCAGTTGCTGTCTTGTTCCTGAACAACTGTGACATTCTCCTTCTACTCAGTGAAATGGCCATGGCTTCATTTTTCTTTGGAAATGTTTCTCAGCACAAAAAAAAAAGGGCAATTTGCACATCTGTGGTTCAAAGAAGTCAGCTGTTAAAACTCTGTATAGTTTGTAACAGGCCCACTGTATGATTAGACACATTGGACTTTTTGGTGGAATTCATCCTGCCTTGTTCGCCTCAAGTCACAAACACAACCAAAGGAAATACAGTCCATTTCTGTGCTCTCTAAATCTCATTCTATTTGCAAAGACATTTAATTGTACAGGCATTAAGCTGCGGGTTGCATGATTTTCAGGGTAATCGCTTGTCACTACTGTGACCGGAACACCTCCCTTAATGAGGCAGTTTGAGGATCCCTGCAGAGACAAACAGAAACTTTAATGAGCACAACACCAGAAGGAGCACAGACAGTGAAACTTTCTCCTGCACTAGACCTACCCCATTACAGGCAACATTGAGACTAAGGGCCTAAGTAGACTGCCAGAAATAGTGCACATTAAATTGAGGCACTGCCCTGGCTCAGTGCTTGGGAATCATGGGAACTGTAATTTATTGTGGCACCAGAGCTCTCTGACAGAGAAGGCTCAATGTCTCAGAAAAAAAAATGCAATTCCCATGACTCCCTAGCACTGAGCCAGGGCAGTGCCTCAATTTAATGTGCACTATTTCTGGCAATCTGCTTAGGCCTTAAATGAACAATGCTTAGTGTATCTTTTACTTACTGAAGAGTACTGATTTTCTTTCCTTTCTCTGGAGACAAGAAAGTTTTGTTTGAAAGGTGCCCTACTACTTGGATTTTTGGCAGCTACAAAAGACTTTATTCGGATCTTCTTAATTAGTGAGACTGAAAGACAGACAACCTCTCAAAGAAGACTTTACAACATCTAGATGATCTCAAGGGATTTCCAAGTTGAAACTGCCTTTTGGGAGGTGCAGTTGCCAAGTATAGGAATAAATTGTGGCGGTGTTTGCCTTCAAGTTGCTTCCAACCTATGGCAACCCTAAGGTGAAGCTATCACAGGGTGTTCTTGGCAAGTTTCTTCAGAGGGGGTTTGCCATTGTCAGCCTCTGAGGATAAGAGTCTGTGACTTGCCCAAGGTCACCCAGTGGGTTTTCATGGCCAAGCAGGAACTCAAACCCTGCTCTCCAGAATCATAGTCCAGCACTCAAACCACTACACCACGCAGGCTCACCATAGAAGTAAATAGTTGCTTAAAAACAGATTGTGGGTTTGGATTTTTTGTTTTGTTTTTGCATTCTACCCTATACATGCAAAGCCCTCAAAGATACTTGAGAAATGTATGATCCACTGCAACCCCTGGCAAAGAACCATATTTAGACACATGAAGGAAAATCCAGAAGCTATGGAAATTTGTTCTACCCAATCCCAAATAATGACTGGAGCTACCATTACCAGAGTCCCCATGAGGAAAGTGATGTTGCCCTAAGGGACTTCTTATTCTCCCACAACTTCATTTTTTAGCCAAGTGCTGTGGCAATCAAAACAATTTGCAGAATAGGCAAGGAATTAAATATACAATGGACCCATCCCAAAAAATATTTTAAAAGTCAGGGAGGGAAGGTGGAGTACAATCAGTAGTAGTATGTTTTAACAACTTGGAATCTAATTTGAGTTGCTGCTACAACAGACATGATCTTATGACACAACTTGTGCAACACAAATAAGAACATGTTCACCATGTATGATTCTAGATCAGGGATAGGCAACCTTTCCCCTTTAAGGGCCCAGGTGCTATTGGCCAACATGGGACTATTGGCCAACATGGCTGAGGCTTCTGGGAGCTGAAGTTCCCTCGGCCCTTAAAGGGGAAAGGTTGCCTACCCCTGTTCTAGATTGATAACATTTTACTTCACAGAAACAACAAAATGCAGGCATCTGACTAACATCTCCAATTTATCTCCTGTTTGGTTTGTAACATCTTGCCTGATGATGCCAGTGGAGCTTTGAAAGCTTGCAACAAATATATTGTGCATTTCAGTTGGCCAATAAAGGTATCACTGTTTGGAGGATTTTTGTTTGATTTTACTTCATAGTGTTTCTTTTATTTTTTGATTATTTAGCATCTAGCATAATGTTGGTAATGGATTTTAATAATGTAAACATTTGTAATGGTAGCAAACCCCCCAAAATATTTAATGTATTACTTCCCTATATTTTTCAGTCCTGAAGATTATTGGAATTTTAAAATCTTTACAAAATGGTTGAGTATGACAGTCAGTTCACAATATGAGTTTAAAAAATGTAACTTCTTTCTTTGAAATGAAAGAACTGAGCTGGCCCCTTTTGGGGGCAATCTAGGGGATATATCACACACAGCTTTTAAACTGTGATTCCCATGGGAGGGAAGTGGTATCAGTGATACTGATCACACTGTGACACTTCCCTCCTGTAGCTGCCCAATCCCCCGACCATCTCTTTTCATCCACAGGAGAAACCTGTGAATAAGCTCCCAATAGCCCTATGCCCCGGATGCGAAAGCCATTCCTGGGGCAGTCACGTTATTGAAAGTCACAAGTTGTCATTGTCCTCTCTTCCCCCTTTTCCTCCCCCTCCCTCGCTATTTTTTTTAAAAATTCTCCTCTTTTTATTGCACAATTCCAGGGCTCTGCAGCATCAAGGTTTCTCATTAAAAAATAAACTGTTAAGTCGGAGTTGCAGAGCTCTGAAATAGCGTGAGAAAAGTCTTTTTAAAAAATCAAGGCATCCTGGGGAGGGAGGGAAGGTGAAGTTAAGGGAGAGGATGAGAAGGGAACATGATGCTGGCAGCAGTCCCCAGTTGAGCAAAAGAAAATAGATGCATTAACAGTGGCAATAAGTGGTGCATTGCCGTTTCTCTCCCCCCCCCCCCCCCCCCCCCCCCCCCCCCCCATGATTGCAGTGAGAAAGGGGCTGGTGTGATAAAGCCCTAGTTCACTAATCCATAGATAGGCAATACAGTACAGTGCTGCTGAAACTGAACCCCACCTCCCCTACTTCAATTGTGGATTCTTAACCTAATGCCAACAAGCTCTTCCACAGATACGCATAGAGATTCTCATGTACTACTGAATGCAGCTTCCTGTTTCTGTGTTCAGTAACATGTGGGTTAAAGTGCTAGTGCACCACTAGCTTTAGAAGAAAGTGAGATTTCATTGGAATAAAGTGACACTTCTTCCTCTATTTCTTTCATCAGATTGAGATCCTTGGATAATGAGGGTACTTTTTCAGACAGTCAATGGAAATTGAATAAAACTTATCAACTGTCTGAAATCAATTTTTCAGATTTACACAATCTTTAAAACAGTAATTGAGGCAAACCAGACAATTTCAAATGTGAGTGTAGAAGGCAACAACTGCTGAAAGAAGCAATCTACTCACTGAAGACTCCCTAGTTTTAATCAAACAAATTTATACAATTAAATCAGCTTCCCAAATATATTTGATTCTGTCTTCATCCGTGACTATATTACAACATGCAGTACTACATTTAGATAATCTCCAGCAGTATATATTCTTAAAGCAGTATGTATTTGTCACCACAAAGGAAGAACCTCTAAAGGGCTAATAGTTTCAAGTTAAAGAAGATTAACAAAAATCTTCTGAACCTCTTACAAAAATAATAAATATATTTGTCCTGTATGTTTCTGCCAGTTTCCCAAGAAAAATCTGTATATAAAGCAAAACTAAAAGCCAGTACATGAAGGTGCTAAGACTAAGGAGCTTATCGCATTACCTTTTAATTCAGTCACGGGATGCAGCCAGGATGCAGCCTGGAGATGGGAATTATCATATTGTAATTCACTGCCAAATTGCCGGGTGACTGCAGCCGGGTCCCAGCTGCTCTCAGCTGGCTCTTTTTCGAAAACGAAAAGCTCCAGAGGTTTAATAGTGGCTGACTGAGCACAGCTGGGACCTGGGCTGCAGTCACCCAGTGATTTCCACCTCCACGCCACATCCCTGCTGCATCCCAGAAGGCTGCTTTCGAGTTAAAAGGTAATGTGATAAGCTCCTAAGAAGCAAAGAAACACTTCTAAATAGAACTAGAGAAGCATAATGACTCCATTTTAAGCCACATGTTCCCCTGATCATAAAGAGGATTATTTATTTATTTTCATTAAAGGGGATACATTTGTTATTTTTAGAACCATGCAGTATTCCTAATATGAAACTTTGACTGTTTAGTGACTCAGAAGGTATGACTGCCCAGAGATTCATGAGTCAGAGGGGCAGGAATAGTCTGTTCTTCAAAGTACCAAGGGATACAAAAAAAAAAAAAAAAAAAAAAATTAAAGAGGCTTGATCATCACCAAGGCATATAAAGGAAACCATCAGTGCAAATCTTCATAACATTTAAGAAGATGTTTGTCATAGCTGTTGTTATTGGAAATTCCTCTTCATGTGTATGTGACAAAGATTGACATGTCACCCATCCCTGGTTGTTCTTGTTCCTTTGCGGTTAGGTAAATAAAAGCTGTGTCTTATTGCTCTTTTCTCCTTATTGTGCCATAATATATCCCTATTGAATAAAACCTTTCAACTGGGGTAGAGTTAGGCCCATCAAACCATACTGAATGGGTGGTTGTCCCAAACTGCCCATGTCTTAAATTGCTCTGCCAAAGGCAGGGCTCTTACCCTGTGTTCCAGTAGGGCTAGAAAGGAAATAGGTTTGCATCTGTTACAATGTATCTTCTAATGTTTGAGAAGACAGGTCAACAAAACAGCAAAGACCAAGTGGCAGATGGAGTCCTGGAATCAAGAGAGGTTTGTATTTTGGAGCATCTTTTCAAAATCAACTCTGATTCATTCAGTTCCCTGCCATAGCTCCTTGAAACTTCAGTCATATGTACCGGTAGCTTAAGACTGCACAGGAGCAGTGGCAGAAAACTGTATGTTGCATTGCTAGCTGTGTTGGCAAAGGGAAAACACCAGTTACCAGGTCTGTCCCTCAGATTGGGGCAGAGCCAGATATTGGTACATAAAAGCAGAAGGAAGTACAATTCACAACTCCTAGCACAGTATATTGATGTGATAGAAATCTTGTACTTTTTGTCATAGCTGCAAAATGAAGGAGGGGGAGTTAAGCAATGGAAGGGAGATTCTGGTTTACTTGCCTAACATAGAATGTTCCTTTGATCTGTTTCGGAATAGGCAGAGCTTTGCAGTGAAAGATCTGGAGCCCTTGACAGGTAACACCTTATTTGTTGTTTGTATTTGAACAACAGAATCTGTTTCATCTGTTTCCATTCCTTTAACTTGAGAACACAAGAGTTCCTTCTGAACATGTCCCTTACGTAGGCATTTTGCCCCTATCAGTCTCATTTCTGAATGTAATTATTATTTATTCAAAATATACCCCAGATAATAATAATAATAATAATAATAATAATAATAATAATAATAATAATAATAAATTATTTATTTATAGCCTGCCCAATCACAAGTAATCCAGACAGGTTACAACAGTAAAAATACATGGAATACAATAAAATTCAAAATTAGTCCCTTCCCAACCCCAACCTCCCAACCCAGTACAAAAATTGGGTATGTATCATGTATTATTCATTAGGAGAGGTAGTAATCTGGTGGGAAGTGGATAATGCCCAAGATACAGTCCGGTCATTCTTAAATCAGAAGGGCTTGCCATTATACAGTTTTTACTGAATCTGTTTGATGTGACTGTACATTGGATATGTTTTAATTGTTTTGAATTTTATTGCCGTTTTAAATGTTTTGTCTTCAGCTGCCTTGGGTCCCTCTTCAGAGAAAAGTGGCATATAAATGAAATAAATAAATAAATCTGTAAAAGACTACATAAATGACACTGTGCAAAGGAATTAGTGACTAGTGCATGTTTGTTTATAAGAAGTAGTTAAGAATTGCTTTTCTGCCCACAAGTGTCCCCAAAGCACAGTCCAATAAAAATGCAATATAAAAAGAGGACAAAAATAAAACACTCTTTCAAACCACATTTAAAACAATTTTTAAACACCAAAGCGTTGGTAGAATAATACCATTTGACTGCCTGTCAGAAGATCAATAAAGACAGATCCATCCTGACTTCCCTTGGGAGCGAGTTCCACAACTGAGGTGCTTCTACAGGAAAACCTTCATGGCTAGCATCAGAACTTAGGATATTGTTAATCAAATCTTATTTCTAATCATATAGCAATAGGTGGAATACATGGAGT